TTTGACCTCGGTGAACAAATTGCAAAAATGCATTGAGACAGAACCAATGCCAACCACAGAAATAAGAAACAAACTACAAAAAACTAAAGCAAACAATGCAACCACTACAACTCGGATCAGAGATAACAGGCTGCTTGTCAAATTTATGAATCTGTGTGAATAAAGCATCAGCACTGGTTTGGCATCAACTCGTCTGTATCAAACAGCAATATTCTTCTTCGTGGACGAGGCTTTTATACTTGCCGCGTTCGTCGTTGTGATATTCTTTAAAACGACAGGGTGCGATCAAAAGAAACCCACCATAAAATCAGACAGATAAACAGATGTAGGAACTTCCCAGAAGCACGTCAAATCATATTGTCATTCAATATTTTTAAATAATTATTTTGTATTGTTTTTATTCATTATTTTAATGATTATAAGGATTTTACCATACAAGATTTTTTTTAATCAAACTTTGATGCATCACTTGCTTTTGTTCATATCTCGGAGAGTTTTATCATTTAAAGTTTATTACAATATTAATCACAAGAAAACATGAGTTGCTCTATATCTCTATATATTTTTATTATGGCAAGGACAAAAGAAAAAAAAGAACCCTTAATAAAAATGTATAGATTTTATTTTAGATTTAGCCTGATCCACAACCATTTACATCAGTGTAAAAGCTATGACTGGTGGAAAAACATGTAATTGTGTACCGGGGTCTCCACTTTTGCGATGGTTTCTTTTGGCATAAACAAACTTATTCCTCAGGTTTTTCCAAATTGTTTTTAACATAAACTTTTCTCCTTTCCCACTGCATTTGCAATTTTTAACAAATAATTATTAGTTATCACTTGCTTTTGTTTATATCTCGGACAGTTACACCTATTAAAATTTATTAAAATATTAATGACAACAGAACATGAGTTGCTCTACAAATAAATGTTTTATTAAAAATGAAAAATAAATAAAAGTACACTTTCTAAAAAATACAGATTTTTTTTTATTTAGCCCACTCCACAATTCACACATTACTGTCTGGCTAGTTTCTGTCTTATACTTGTGCTAAAAAGGGCAATGATGGTCCAACATTCCTGACCATTATCAACAATAAAGCCCAGAGAAACAGGGCATCAGTATATTTTGTATTCCTTTCCAGTTATCAAAAATAATTTTGTGACTTCATTATAGTTTTGTAACTATTAAATTGTTTTAAATACAAAATATAACAAAATACATCCGTGTAAAAACCTATGACTGGTGGAAAAACATATTTCTGTAATTGTGTACCTGGGTCTCCACTTTTGCCATGGCTTCTCTTGGTTTTAATAAACTTATCCTTCAGGTTTTTCCAAGCCTTTTAACAAAAATTTTATCCTTTCCCACGGCGGTTGCAAATTCAAGCCAAGAATTATAGATCATCTGGTTATCTCTCTGATCATGGGTCTTAAGATGTGTTTACAGTCGTACTGTTTCAGATAAAATCTCTTTAAAGTGGTTCATGTTCAACTCAAATCAGTTGTGGCGCCGCGTGCAATGTTTGCTCGAGTCTCAAAAAGTGCCCTACGGACAACCAGATGAAATCAGGTAGCGCGCACCCAAATGGAACCTCAGCAAACTCCGCAATGACGTCACAATCGCTGCACGCACTTAAGTGAACGTGTCGAGTATAAACCAGGCTTTACACATAATCATCCCGCGAGTTGACAAATGTGTTGCAGTTGAACAAGGGGCGGATCACAGCAAACGTGCTTTTCCATTCCAAAAACGCGAGGCGCACACACTGCTTTTTATTTTACAAGGAAAAAAAGCAGCGCGGTGCTCTTTCTACATGTCACTATGAAACGACTGAATCAGCTGGGTATTGATTGTGCAAGAGTGTTGCTGTCTATGTCGTCACAATTGTAATATTTAATAATATTTAGATATTCAAGATTTGTAAAGTCATAGAGCTCTGGATAACTTGAAACAGCGAGCAGTCTCTCCTACATCTTCAGTGTTTCCTCTAGGATTTTTTCCAGCTAAGGCAGCAGACCTTTTACACAAATCTACCAAATACCTATAACATTATTTCAATGACAAATGGAGAAATGTCATGAGCACAGTATTACAAGTCAAGATCGCATTTACGTGCAATACGAGTGTACTTGCACGCTGATTTCCTCTGCTTGTGCACAAAACCTCTTGCAGAATTCAGAATACAGCCCGAGCTAGACAGGTAGCCTACATTTTGATTGACAGCTTTATAAAGCCCGATCCCGTTTATAGCCTGGCATTATACAAATGGGCACATGCACACAGCTCGTTTGCCTTTTTTTTCCAAGAATGAGTCATTTATATGTTTTAACATAATTTATTAGTAACAAACATAGGCTATTGACCACTTCGAAGTTGGAACAAAGAAATAAAATAAGCCCTTTGTAACATCTCAGCATTCTAAATAGGCCTAGGTACACACACATAGCCTTTAAATTGGCCAACACACCAATAAAAATTAGTCTTTCCAATCAAATTAAATTAAAATAAATTATGACAGGTATTTGGCAATAATGAAATTAAGATAAAGGCTTTGCTAGATTTGTTTTACCACTTCTCTTTACAATCTGGCCTTAAGGTGACGGTGAAGCTAAATATTAAAATAGCTTAATGCCAACATTAGCCTGTGTACTCTGACTACATTATGATTTTAAGGTTTAATTAATATTTATTTATAATTTAAAAAACCCTTTACTCACCAAGATTAGGCTACGTGTTTTTTTTTGTGGAGGAACATTATTGAATCCACTGTAAATGGCTTTAGCGCAGACCTGCGCTCAGGATGGTGTGTTCAAAAGCACTGAACACCCTTTCACTGCTTCTACAGGCCAAGATGCATAACTGATCTGGCTAATTTTTCAATTTTTAAGTGGGATTGTTTTTTCATCTTTTCCCAACCAAGAACATTCATTTAATTTTCCATGAAAGCAGTTTCAATATAGCGAGTGGCCTTGTCATCTTCCCTGTCAGCTTCCTGTGCTGTTTCAACCCAATCTCATGGCAATTCGTAACTTTTTAATTTAGTAGCAAATTCGTATCAATTCGCACGATCTAATTCGTACAATTTAGTACGATTTGCTCATACCCCAATGACGGTTGGGTTTAGGGGTGGGGTTAGGTGCCACACCTCCTTTTTAAAAATCGTACAATTTCGTACAACTGAACTTGTAGCAATTAGCCACTAAACTAGCAAAACGTAAAATATTTGCGTTTTCTCGTGAGATCAGGCTGGCTGTTTAGCACTCCGTAATTTGCAGTGTATGAGGGATCGCCGAAATACCTTTGCGGCTAGACTGACAGGACCTTTCTGAACTGGTGGCTGGCCTGACTGCTGTCAAAATATGTTCTTTTTGACTACTCCGTCATCTTTTGTTTCAACTATGCAGGGAGAGAATTTAATGATGTCACAAACGATTTAATTACTTTCTTGCGCTAATCGAAATACATAACATGACTGTTCATTTACTGCGCATGCCAAGCCCGGCCCCGTCTAAAATGATAGAAATTAAACCCGAACCCGGTGGTACAAAGATCTTCAGCTCTACGTTGTCTTGACAACACAAACACTGCTTCTCTGCGTTGAGCAGCGTGCAAAACACTTGCGGCCGTTTGTAAACCATTCAAAAGATGGCCCTCTTGAAGCAAAAAGCACATTGGATCGGCCCTTTATGCATCCAAACTAAAAACATATAAAATTAAGTTTTTAATCACTTAACTAATACCATTAATCGGTTACAAACGCAGCCTTTTGGTTAGTGGTTAATCGATTAATATGAGCATCCCTAAGTGGTACACATATACATTATATCAGTATTTTAAATCAAGTGTAAACGTTTGAGCCCCATCTGAGAGGTCACAATTACTGCTATTAAAAAGCTTTTGAAAAAATACAAAGACAAGATTTCTTTGAAAAATATAGATATATATATTATATATAAATATATATTTCTTTGAAAATATACAGTTGCGAGAATTAAAAGTGTAACTTGTTGAGTTTGCTGCTTTGTGTCATTAGCAAACTTGCGAAAGGTTTGGCAGAGTTAAGCGGGAGGATGATCCTGCATGTCATAAAGCACATTACGCTTTAACACACCAATTTTAATGGTATATAATTCTACTACATTCTTTGTCTCAAGCACAAGCGTGGTTAATTTTTAAAAATTGTCCCATTTTATCATGTCAAAATTAAACAATGTAATGTAAACTAAATCCAAAGCCAACTACTAGCACTGCTACAAACAAATAACATACTGTATAACAAAAACAAGCGCATTATTTAAAACAGCCAACAGCATGACTTTTTACACGTTTGTAAAAATTTATTCATTCATTCATTTTCCTTCAGCTTAGTCTGTATTTCAGAGTTCACAACACCAGAATGAACCACCAACTATTCCAGCATATGTTTTAGACAGCAGATACCCTTCCAACTGCAACCCAGTACCAGGAAACCAATTTAGTTTATTCAATTCATCCATAACGCATGTCTTTAGAATGTGGGGGAAACCTGAGCACCCAGAGGAAACCCATATGAACACAGGGTTTTATATGTGACATCACTGACAACAGGTCTTTCTTTTGTACACAAAATCTCAACTAAGAGCTAATGTACTAATCTGACCTGCCGCATGTTTATGTTTGAATGCCAGGACTTGGCCCTGAAAGGCTGGTGTCCTGCAGAGTTTAGCTCCAGCTCTAATTAACCCACTTGAACAAGCTAATCAAGGTCTTTCAAGGTAGAATTGAAACTTCCAGGTAGGTGTGTTTAGGCAAGATGGAGCTACTCTGCAGGGACACCGGCCCTTCAGGACAAAGATTGGTGACCCCTACTGTGGGACCACATGAATTTAATTACTATTGTATATAACAACTATAAATAACTATTGTATGTTTGTTGCTTCTTAATCTTTTAACCAAAGATAATGCAACCTAATGCAAACAGAAAAAGATATCAGAGAGATCCAAAGCATTTTCCATACCTGCAGTTAGGTGGGGGATCCAACATGATGTCAGCCAGCTCTTTCTGAATCCTGAAAGAAGACATGACCGAATGATTCCCATGAATATAAACTCTGAACTGGCATCCAATAACAGTTAAAACAATCCAAATAACAACAGTTAGCAAGAGTTTCATCAAAACAACATATTAATTTGAGTGCATTGGGAACATGACCAAAAATGCAGTCTAAAAGCAACAATCTATAAACTGGTATTTTCTTTGTACATTTAAATGTAGCTGTTTTGCAGTAAAAACTTTGAAACATAAAAGATGCTGCCCAAAACATCAAAATAAACTTTAACAAAACTAAAGCAATGACATTAAGACACCTACAAATGTAATTGTGTAACATTCTGTTTAATAATATGTCATTTTGGTTGATGAAAGGATGAAAACTGGCATCTGAAGACACAACCCCCACAAACAGTCATGGGAAGCCCTCAAAAAAGTAAAATAAGGACAAACAACACACCACTTGTTGAGATGAAGCAAAGTGCTAAAATATTTGAGCTCAGTCTGCATTAGTAGCTTATTCGTTCTCATTAATGTCAAAAAAATGTGTATGACCAATCAAATCAAAATGTTTGATGTTGATTTACTGAGCAATGCTTTAGTTTTCATGAACGTCAGCACAGCACAACAAAAGAGTGGAATAAATAGATCATAGATAACAGTTGACAAATGTTATTGCAATATAAAAAAAAACAGTCAACCTAATTTAACACATTTCACAATAAATTAGGCAGTTCCAAACCTTTAGAAGCATCTTTACTCTGTTGAACCCTAAAGAATATATGGTGAAAATAGCTAAAAGTGTGTAACCATTGTCTTCCATATTAGGAAAAATTAATACAATGGAAATTAATGGCTGCAGGTTTCCACCTTTCTTCAAAATATCTTTCATTGTGTTCAAAAGAAAAAAAGGCAAACAGATTTGGAACAAGGGTAACTGATGACAGAATTTTGAGTTTTGTTTTTTTTTTTTGTATGTAAACCATTCTTTTAATACCTACAAATTTGACCATTTTGAAGAAGGTTTAAGTGACTCAACAATTTTTTTCATAAATATTAACAGTTGTTTCAAAATGTTTTTGCAAGGGATATAGTGTGCATGTGGCCATTTTAAAATTATTTTATTTGCAATTTATTAAATTTGATTGATTTAACCCTGCTGCACTCAGTAAAATGAAATATTGGGCTTACTAAATTTGTGAAATAATTTCATATGATGCTTTGGGGTCATGAGAGCCTTTCTAATCCAGTATACTGTACATATCGTTTGCTGTTAAATCCTTCACTGTCCAGGAGCAACGCTGGCTTTCTGACAAAGCCCAAGCTATGATGTTTCCTCACCTCTTTGCACTTGTGGAGAGGAGTTTGGATGTCTTGCTCATGTTGGCTTTGCTTTCTTTCTTTTTTCCAGGTGTGTCTTTCTCCTGCTGCTGATGGGTGGAGGAGGAGGAGGAAGAGGAAGATGAGCTAGAGCTTGCACGCGAGTCCTCATCCGACATCCCGATCTACATGAGAGTGAAACACAAACACTGCAGTAAAAATAATATATAATTTGTTAACCACTTTGATTGTATGTGCCGTATGGGAGCACACATGTAACAATGTTTCGCTGTATCGACGAAATGGTAGGTAATATAAATGTTACCGTGTCGATGTATCAACTACTGGCGCGTGTTTGACCTTTAACACTGGATTAACAACACTGCGATACCGTGGGTGCGATCACTCCGCATTTATAGCTCGAAATATCGGTTAAAACACCTCAAAATAATCAGACGTATATCCATCTCTTGTGTTTTAATCCACGCAAACGTAACGCTGAGTCTGATCGAATCCGTAACGTTACACACGCGATCAAATACACGAGATTAATCCTAAGTAGGAAACGCACAAACACGCATCGCCGTCGAGTTCACTAAACTTAAACTTTACCCCATCCCACAAATATGCTGAATGAACATGATGAAAAAGACAGTAAATGTGTCGTCAGCCCTGTAAGTTAGTTGTCCGGGTTCAGTCTTCATTTAACATCGATGGACAAATATTTCAGACTGTCACAATACAGACGAGAATACGAGCATTCGAACACACCGCTGATGTAAGTATAACATAAATATGCGCTATTTTGTAATGTTTAAAGGATTGTGTACCTCTCTTTGTGTCGGTGTGTGTCCGTGGACGCGCGTGTCTCTCGGAGCGGAAGTGCTACTGCTGCGCGCACACACACAGAGAGAGGGGGAGAGAGAGAATTTTGAATATTAAGAATCAAGTTTATTACAAACAATCAGTTTACAAACTTTACATTATACACTTCAGAACAAATAAAACAGATATTAGGGTACGTTAAGAGAGTTAAAGTTGGCAAAATGACAATCAAACACGTATCAGCTAAGTAAATGTTATAGCCTGTGTATGTGTGTGTGTGTGTGTACAATCAAATCCAGTAAAAATAACAAATTAAGAATTTAATATTGAGCTAACAAATAATAAACATAAAAAAACTTAGCTATTTATGGTGGAATAAAGTAAATGTACACCTGCTCAAATCAACGCAGATCCGGGTGTCTGCCTTGGGCTAAAAAAATCCAAAAATAATTTCTTGACAAATATGTCAAATGTACAACATAAAAGATCACATACTACAAAACCAGTAATAAGTGTAAATTTTTTAAATGTATATATATATCTGCTTAAAACTGAATTTGTATCGATGTAGCCTATGGTTTGTTAGGACAGGACAATATTTGGCTAAGATTTAAAATATTATAATAATTTATATAAAACTAATTCATATCTGAGGATTCAAAAATGGGCAATGCAGTGGCGCAGTAGATAGTGCTTTCGCCTCACAGCAAGAAGGTTGCTGGGTTGCTGGTCGAGCCTCAGCTGGGTCAGTTGGCGTTTCTGTTTGGAGTTTGCATGTTCTTCCTGCCTTAGAGTGGGTTTCTTCCGGGTGCTCCGGTTTCCCCCACAATCCAAAGACATGCGGTACAGGTGAATTGGGTCAGCTAAATTGTCCGTTGTGTGTGTGTGTGTGTGTGTGTGTGTGTGTGGATGTTTCCCAGAGATGGGTTGCGGCTGGAAGGGCATCCGCTGCATAAAATCCTGCTGGATAAGTTGGCGGTTCATTCCGCTGTGGCGATCCCGGATTAATAAAGGGACAGAGCCGACAAGAAAATGAATGAATGAATGAATGTTTTTATAAATTTATTAAGTATATTGATACTTCAGGCATTTTGGTAACCTTTTGGTTTTGTGCTCAAAACTAGTTCAATTTAGTTCCAAAAAAGTTTGCCCATAACATTTTGATAAAATAAAACATTTCAGACAGTTTGTCTATGTTTTTACACTAAGCATTTTTTATTTCACTTTGTAAAAGGTGTGATAGCAGTTTTAGTCAATTGTTCATGCGAAGACAGACACTACACCTCTCACATATGCATGTGAGAAGTGATTGCATTTTAAGTTTTTTTGCCTCCCATATCTATTATTTTGTTTCGAAAATGTACAAAAAGCACAAAAACAAGACATGTCAAGGTGCTATAATCATTTGGTGAGGAAAATGGAATTAAGAAGAAATTTGGGTTGGGATGAGTTGTAATTCTTTGTGACTTAACATTAGTGTAATTATACTTTTACACTTTCATACAATTTCTGTTGCGTTCAGAACTTTGACATGTTGATGATAAAAAAAATAGGGGGAGGGGGGATTTGGGCAAAACTTTAAATCGCATACCCCTCAGTAAATGTGAAGTTGCGCCCCTGCCCAGAGATCAGCTGGAAGGGCATCTGCTGTGTAAAAATGTGCTGGATAACTTGTCAGTTCATTCCGCTGTGGCGACCCCGGATTAATAAAGGGACTAAGCTGAAAAGAAAGAAAGAAATGAGGTCAAAAAATCTAAATACTGACAAAACTGCCTTACAGTTTGTGCAAATGAAATTTTTAACAATACACATTACTATTATTAGAATTTCGATTTGATATAGACTACTTAGGAAGAGTGCAAAGTGCCTTAATGGAAGATGATTTTACATGGTATTCCAATGATTTTGGCATGAAAAAAATCCAAAATTTTAGCCCATACAATGTAATTTTTACACATTTCATTTTTTTTATGAATAGATTGATTTATTTCTGTTTTGTTTTTGTTTGTTTTTCTGTATGAAAGGTCATATGAAACTGATAATTTAGTGGCTTGTCCTTTATTAAAATGTGAACTCTAGTGTGTCCTGTCTAGTGTTATAATAAGTGGTCTTGGTTGTAATATACTTCAAAACATAAATAACAAAAGTCCTGTCAAGTATGACTGTTTTAGGAAACCCCCTTATTCCATCTTCGCATTAACACATACCGTCCTCACATTTAGAAAGAGGAAGGTAGGCCAGTCTACTTCCTGTCTGTCTGTTTTACAGGCTTTGTAATGTTGCATGGATGGAAGATAAACGTAGTGCAGGCTGTCTGCAGCATGAGGTCATTTAGCAAACATGTAAGTGTTTAGATCGCTAGATTAGATGAACAATAATTATGAGCAACACTCAAAGAGTGCCACATATACACTGCAATCAATGAGAGATTCAATTTCTGTATTGTCTATTTGAACCCTATAAAAACCCTGCTAATATAAACGCTGTTTACAGTGGAACGTTAGCTCTTATTGCAAACTGTGCATTATGCTGCCTATATGAATTTGTTTCAAAAAGCGGTATATTTATTTTTGGAAATGGCATATTTGAAACTTGTTGAAAAATATAGGTGAAGAAAGATGTGTCTGTCTTTCGTTTGAGGGCCTTTTCATTGTGAATGGAATTACCAGGATTTAATTAAAGAAAATTACAAAATTGCAATTTTATCTCGTAGACACTACCAGGGCCTTAATTTCTGTTGTAATAAATTTAAAGTTCAGTCCTACCATACAAAAGTCTTAAAAATCAGTATGCCTCTATTACGGGGTGTCACAGTGGGTAGCACTATCGCCCCACAGCAAGAATGTCACTGGTTTGAGACCAATCCAGCTGGGTTGGTTGTCATTTCTGTGTGGAGTTTGCATGTTCTCCCCATGTTCACGTGGGTTTCCCCCACAGTCCACTAAAAATGTGCTATTGCCTATAGTGCATGTGTGTGAATGCAAGAGTGATTGGGTGTTGCTTGGGTTGCAGCTGGAAGTGCATACACTGCGTAAGACATGCTGAATAAGTTGGCGGTTCATTCTACTGTCACAACCCTTGATTAGGGGCTAAGCCGAAAATAAAAACAAATGCATGTCTCTTTTAATTGTTTAAAAATACTTACAAAATAAATGTTTTCCTGTAAATTTAAATATTGATGTTAACCAGTCAAGTGTATAAACATAAAATAGGTACAGAAAAAAGGCTCAAGCACAAACATTTAAATAGATTACATGACAATTACAAACTTTTGGAATGAAAGAATTTTAACCATGACAGATTAAACAACTACTTTGATGGAACTTCAACAAAACAAGGTTGAATGTGCTATTTTTATTTTATTGTTATGCACTGAATTCGTGATTTTTTTTTTTAAAGTTGATTTAAATTTAAAGGTAATATTTTTATTTTGTGGCCTATGACATGAATAACATTCTACTCATAGCAGTAGTACTGTGGTTTTGAGTTGTCATATTGAAAGGATGAAATTTTAAGTAGCTCAGAGAAACAAATTACCATTTACAAGCCTTCTAAAGGAAAAAAAGTGGTAGCTGGAGTAATAAACAGCCATGTGCAATATTACTTTTTCTATTCTTTTGAATGCAGTACAATATTTTTTTGTGTGTCCATAATGTGCAGCTTTATTTGCATCAATTTGATAAGGAAAGTATCATACAACAGAAACAAGCCCTAATAAAAATCAAAACAAATTTATACAGAAACTACACACATTCAAAACTTTTAGAAGTAAGGTGCAGAAGAACTAACGCCATTATATATACATATACACACACACACACACACACACGCATACATACATACATACATAAAAAAAAAAGACCATCTTTAAAAAACAAAATTCCAATTATCAAATTTATTGAATAAAATGTCAAGTTATAGAGCAGCCCAAGGATGCAATCACATGCTTTTCTATAGTGCTTCACATAAAGCCACTTGTCAAAGCAGATTGCAACACATTCAGTAGTCTTAGGTTAAAACTTATTGCGAGGAGGTGAAAAACTGAAGGAAACCAGGAAACTGGACTGGGACTAGATTTACACAGTTTTCTGTCCTTCTTGGTGAAGTAGCAGGACACAGTTTAAGTTGGCCATGAAGATCTGATTGGTCTCATCACTGATAGGTTCTTCTTTTATGAATGTCCTCTGATTGTATAGCACTGTTGTGATTGTCCTCCGTGCAGATCGATCATCTAGGCTGGCTGGACAAAGACAAAATCATAGATGCCATTCTTCTCTCAATTGTTTTCAAGAGGGTTCCTTTTCAAGATTAAATCGATAAAGCCCATTTTATGGGATTTGGACTTGAAAATCTTGCTTTAAAATTTTGGAACAGTGGCGTTCGGTCTATAAGAACTGTATCATTAACACTTACACAAGAAACTAAATAGTGTATGCAGTTTCATACATGAACATCAAGCTGCTGCAAAATTGCCCACACCTGTAACTGCCTCAGTTTTAGTCTAGGTCAAACAGCTTAGGCTCCAACATACTGACAGACACCAGAGCATCAACAACATGACCAACTAACAAGTACCGATAAGCTTGAAGTGTGTTTATGGACGTGTGACTTACCAGGGTTACAGTCTGCAAACAGAGAGCATATAGCACTTTGGAGATGGTGAGTGCTAGACTCCAGTTGTCCTCCTTATTGTAGTAGATCCTCTTGTGAAAAGTGACCTGTCAGTTAAGAATATGACAAAAGTTT